CCCTCCTCTCTCTCTCCTCTTTCTTCTCCTCCTCTCTCTCTCTCTCTCTTTCTCTTGTCATATTTAACTTTCATATGTGCATTCTTGCAAACAAACGAATTAAAATCAATATTTGCTATCATTCCTTTATCATTCCTTGCTTAAGCGTTTTTCAGATACAAAATTTCGTCACGAACGACCATTTTCAGGATGTTTCGTTTTCAACCGGATTCAGAATGCTTCAATTAAACCGGAAATTGAATGTTATAACTGCAAAGGTATTGCATGAAGCAAATTTTATTTGCTTACAAGTTGTGATTAGAAAATGTTATCAGTGAAATGATCATGATGACAAATGCAATCGATGATAAGCGGTATTGCATTGTATAGTTGTACTATTTCAAATTAATGTTTTTATTGTTGAAAATATTTGATGACATCAAGGTTATTTAATTATATCAATTATAACGATGAAATAAGGTCATACTAAATATGTAAGGTCATACTAAATATGGACGTACACTGATTTTTTTTTCTTTTTTTTTGTAAAATTTAAAATGTTAACAATTTAGTCATAAAAGGCTATTCTCTAATTTGAATATAACACAATTAAATGCTAATAAATTAATTAATTAATAATGTAAGTGTTGAAACAGAACAAATTAATATTGTTAAAATCCATTTTTGTTATCTTATTTGAGCTAACAATTTCAAAGGTTCAAACTTTGTAACGAATCACATAACAATTCGTCATTAATAATGAAAAGTTAGCAAACTTTGAATGAAGAAAAAAAAAGAAAAAGAGAAATTCTAGCTTCACTACATATTATTCTAAATAATATTTATTAAGTGATAAGTGATTAGTTTAATTGTTAACTATAAGAAATATTTATAACTTTACATCCGTTAAAATGCAATATCAATGATTATTTACTTTGATATTAATTTAACATTTTTAGCAAACATTAAATATTTTGATAGTAAAATTTCTTTTTCAGTAATGTGAAAAGATAATTTGAAATATCAAAAAGTACCGCATTTTTTATTACTAATTAAAATGTTTGTAACATTTAAAGAGTTATTTCGTTTCATTTATTTTAGAATTTTTAAATTCTTTTTTTTCATATTTAATTAAAAAAAAATAAAAACAACGAAATTTTTAAACAATATAAAATATTTTTGTTTTCTTTTTTTTTCTCACTCTGCTTACTAATTTATGCTTATTTGGTTTCATGGTATGCGCAAAAAAAAAAAAAAGCCGCCTTTTTCTTCTTTACATTCAATACCGAATGCCTCATTGCTTAAAGGTATTTCAAGCTTGCTTTTTCCATGGTTACCTTCTCAAACCATAAATATGTATTTGAAAAAAAAAAAAGGGAAATAAAGTAAAGAATAGCCACCTGGCGTTATCTGACAAAATGGGCTAAAATTTTGACGATGATCTGAGAAATATTTTTGCATCTTTTACGATTGAAATCGAAAAATGGCATTGTCCTTTTTCTGAAATGGCTAATATGCGACAACAAAGTGGAAGAAGCAATTTTGGTTAACTGAGTGACAATAAAAACGGTTAAATTACATTTTCTTAAAATGTTGGCGACAGTTGGCTTATTTATGAAACGGGAAGATTCATCACTTCATATTGCCTTTATGATTTCCCACTTATACTTTTATCACTTAAGTAAATTATGGTTCTTTTTGAAAAATTACTAAAAACTAAAGCGGATATGCTATCAATGAAGTCAAACATCTCCTTCTTATCATTTAACTAAGCAAATAAATATTTCAGTAAATCGGGTTATTGGCTTGAAATATTTATAAAATAATGAAAACAGTTTTTTTTCCAAATTAATAAGTAAACAAGTAAGTTTAATTTCCAGAAAATTAAACTTTGAATTTTACATGATTCGTTGCTTAAATTTAATTGAGGTGCCATACTTAAAAAGATATATCTTAAAAAGAGAGAAAAAAAATTAAATTTTAAATTTTAATATTTCAATTAGAGTTATTCCAAAATTACAATTCGAACATTGCTATTTATTATGAGATGATACCATTGTCATCTCTTTTTTTTTTCTTCTGTAATTATATAAGTTGCAAAGACATTAGTAATTCACGATAAATACAGTTTGCATTGGTTCATCTTACTCATCAGAAGCAGCTGGTAATGACCGTTCGCTCATCCTGTCCCTGTCATGTCCTGTTCTGTCCTCTCGAGACACATCTGCTAGGTCTCATGCAATCAATATAAATTACTTTGATCAAAACCATCAAATATCCTTATGCCTCTCAATTTTTACCAATTTTCTTGTTGCATGAATGAATTTAAATTGGTTTTGAATAAAATTATTTATCAAAAGTCATTGGAATGTCACACAATATTTATACAACATTTTTTTATGAATTAATTTAATCATCATTATATATAGTCGTTATTTTTATAGCAATGTACACCTAATTATTCAGAGTTATGCATAATTTTATGCATATATCAATTTAATTAATTGTGATGTATAATTGCTAATTTTATAGTGATACATATACGACAGCTATATAGGCATGTATAGTTCAATGAATTAAATTAATCATAATATATAATCGTTATTTTTTATAGTGATACATAAACCACAATAAATGTGTTTATTTGTGGTTACATCATTGAAATATCAGCAAAAAGCTTCATGGTCATTTTTGTTGTCGCCAAATGGTCATGATGACCGAAATGTTGCGGTGGAACGGTTGTTGTCGATTGTGCCAATGAAGCAATGGCTAGCATGGCTTGACAATTATGCGATTTGGAGCTGGATGGCATTATAAGGCATTGCTAGGGGCAACAACATCTGTTCTTTCTACTCTCATTTCATTTGCAAAACGAAAAATGATGTGATGACCATAGATTGTCCGGCTAATTTTCCAATTAATGCAAATTTGTTGGACTAATTTTGGTATTTTTCTTTTTGATTATAATTCCACTTACCATATAGCTCTATCCGAATTATAATTAATTAATTAATAAGAAGAAAAGGCTGAACTCGGTGACATATAAACATTCCACCATTTTGATATTTGTATGAAATGGATACATTCTACTGTTTGCAATGATTTTAATTATTTCAATTTTATTTATTGGATAATTAAGCAGATTAGAAGTAGTTAATTACTTACTTGTAATGTAAACTTCACAATGACCACTAAATGATAAAGATAAAAGAGAGGTCAAAAGGATGATGAAATACTATGCTTAGCATAAATAAGCCTTAAGTAATCACAGACAAACGTAATGCATTCATGCTAATTGCAATGGTTCATTGTCAGTTGAGAAAGGATATTGAGAAACGGTTGTCGACCTCGAGTGACCTTTTTTCCCCTTCCATTGGTCCACCTGCCTCAGTGTCTCACTCCTCCTATTATCAATACTACCATTACGAGTGGCCATCTGCCGTTCCAATCCAAATCACCACAAAATGTACAGACGACATTTTGGAATGATATCTTGCAGTATCAAAATTTTTTTTTTTCTTAAAACCTAACTGTTACAACCAAATAAAAACAATTAATCATTAAATAATATGCTCAACATTTCTTCGTCATATATAAAATCAATCTAATCATTATAATCTATACACTATCAACCTTAATGATTATCGTTATCATTTAACTATAATAACAATGATAATAATTGAGATTAAATCAATAATGACTGTTATTAAGGATGAGATAGGATCAGATCTATAGACCGTACTATACCGATCAAATTTCCCGATTTCTATCAAAGTATTTCTGATAGATTAATTTAATTTCTTCACATATTCTAATGTCTGAAATTTCAGTATTCCATTAAACACCGTAAATGTAGTCCTCGGTAGTATAGTGGTGAGTATCCGCGCCTGTCACGTGCGAGACCCGGGTTCGATTCCCGGCCGGGGAGCGACATGTTTTGTTCAAACGTTTTCCTTATGTTTATTATCTATATGATAATAATGATTCAGTTATTTTCAATTATCATTAGAAGAATAAAAGTTGGCAGAACGTATTTTTATCAAAATTTTCAATTTTCGTTAATGTGCCGCTAACAAAAAATTTTATGACATATTAACTCATATATTAATTTAATATATGAATTTAAATACCTAAAATTTATAGCTTAATGGAAATTTCACTCTCACTATCAATTGGTGGTATTATGTGATCCTCGGTAGTATAGTGGTGAGTATCCGCGCCTGTCACGTGCGAGACCCGGGTTCGATTCCCGGCCGGGGAGTGTGTCGCTTTTGCCAAGAAATAGGCTCTTCTTATTCCTTCGCTTTTCATTATGAAAGCAAAAGTTTTTAATTTTCAATTTTTAGAAACGAAGGCGGGAAAAAGACGAAGAATGTTGATTATTTCATCAATTGTTTGATGATTAGTAAGAGAAATTTTGCAGCTGTTTGGTGATGAAGAAAAGGATAAGATGAAGGATATGAAAATGAGAAGAGGATTGATTGCGTAATATATTGAAGGATCATTCACACATACACACACATACACACACACACACACACACACACACATACACACACGCATATATACACACACACACACACACATACACTCCTTATAATGAAAGGTCATTAATTAAGAGTGGGAAGGAAAAAATGGTAATTTATACTAATTATTACCGTATCATTTCAATAACTATTCATTCGTTTTTTACAAAAAAAAATGTTCATATGAATTACTACAGGGAAACTTTCTTTTTACCAAAAATTTAACCTTAATTTATCGCGACATATTAAAAACTGCTGTTGTGATGATGATGATGGTATAATGGTAATCATAATAATAATAATATGATGGCGATGATGATGATGATGACGACAATAATGATGATGCTGTTGATGATATTGATGATCATGATGATGATGATAATATGCTATTGCTGTTATTACTCTTGATAATGTTTGTTGCTAATGTTAATGGTAATAATAATAACGATATATTTTTGATGATGATAATAGTGATAATAATGTTGATATGCTAATCGTAATTCTTTTTTTGCTATGAATATTGCTAAACATCAATAACATTTCATCAGCATCATTTTGTTTTTCCTCATTACTTAAATCTTAGTTTTTTTTTTTTCCTTGACAAATTTCTCGGGATAAAAAACATAAAATGAAGTGTAGTGGAGTTATTTATGGATTAACAATACATAAAAGAATAGGAAGCAATATCATATGGTATGGATTACATTAACTGCTCCAGAACAGATTGCTCATAAATCTTCAGTTGTCCTCATCCATTCATTTCATACAACAAAAATACCATTGGACTTTAATTCAGTAAAGGAACATATGGAAGAGAAGTAGTATTGAAAAAGGAAACAGATTTTAACACAATGATATTTTCCGCTTTCGCGCAATATGGTCTAATTCTTTTCAAACAACATCAAATGTAGTAGCATTGGTTAACCTTTCTAATCCTAAAGGTCAAATCAAATGAGAAGTTAATCAAATTCTGATCTTTGATATTTCAATATTATTCATTTAATCTATGATTCATTCAGAATTTCCTTTCATCTTTACTTTCACTTATTATTTGAGAAAAAAAATGATAAGGATGAATTTATCTAAGATATTTATATGTTCAGCAAAAAAAAAAAAAAAAAAAAAAAAAAAAAATGCATGGCACAATTTTGACGACACGAATAACTGTGAAAGTTAATAGCTAATAATTCATAAGCATTTCTTAAATTGGTCCTTTATTTTATTGTTTTGCTGGATTTAAATTTGTCGATGATAAAAAATTTGGTAAGTTTTTCATGAATTTAACGAAAAAAAGTTAACTTAATCATTTTATCAATTCATTTTTGTTTTTAATCCAAATTTTGAACAAAGTTTAAAAGTTTAAGTTATAAATAAATTTATAAATTTTCCTCAATTTAATTTAGCAAGTAATTTATTATTTAAAATTTGATTAGCATATAAAAAAGACTAACAGTTGGTGATGAAACGTTAATCAATTTAATGCTACTTTGTGACTAAATTATAAGCTACTAATTTACAAATTACATCTTTAAGATTTTTGGACTTTTTTCCATTTTTTATTTCACATTTTTGACAAATTTTCTATTGAAAACTTTCTTTTTGCAACCTATTCCCGCAAAACAAAGAACCAATGATAAAGTTTAATTAAATTTGAACAAAATTTAAATTCAAATTTAAATGGACTCAGAAAATTCAAATATTTAAACCAAATCTTTTCCAGTAATTAATTTTGCATACGCGTATGTGACCGAATAATGCTCAATCCATTTCTTGGCCTTTTTTTTTCAATTGCTTAAATAGTCAAGCAGAAGGTTTTTAAATAAATTCATCCAGATGGTATCTGGAAAATTTTGAACGGATTTTTAAAATCCTTTGATCTTCTTTTTCCTTTTTTTTGCCTTAAATTTAAATTTAAATTTAAATTTAAATTCAGGCAAAAAAGCATTAGCATAATTATTATGCATGAAAGGAGTTGGAGATAGAAAATTTCGTTCATATTTTCGTTAATTAATTTACTATGAAATTTTGGATGAAACATTTGAACCGCCTTCATGCAAATGATTGGATGAGACATATGGGATGGTAACAGGGAAAACAAGATGGGTTAATCTTGTTGGTGGGTAGATTCGATTGGGTGGAGCAAATAAAATATCTTTTGACTCTTCCAACAACAAACTGTCAGTTGAAAATTACTGAGCGAAAAAAGGGTTGGAGGAATACGGTGTAGGTAATGTTAGTGATATATTTGCATTTAACACTTATCACTTTATGGTTAACAAATATTTATGATAAAATATAATCTTTTGGATAATTTGAAAAAATTTTAATTCAAATATCTCAAAATGTTTCAAATGAAAAAGAAACAAAAGTTGCAATAATTTTTGCGGTATTTTTATCTTTTTCTTTTATTTTTCTTTTTGGTTAATAATATTTTTGCAAGCATTTTATCATTTAAATAAATTAATTTTTCATTTTTATTAAGTGAAAAATTTTTGCATAATCTTTTGTTTGATAATATCCTTAATGATTAAATATAGGCATTATTAATTGATTAGCAATTTTTTTGCATAAAATTTTTTTGTTGAGATTATTTGCAAGTTTTGTTGCAATATTTTCAGATAATCGTTAATATGCTGTTTATTGGCATATCGATATTTTTTTTATTAAAAATTTAACTCCCTTAAAAATCGATTTTTTTTAAATCTTAATTTTAATTTTCAACCTTAGGCATTCCTAATTACCGTTTAATTTTTAATTGGAAGATAAATGGCAGGTTCTTTATGCACTTCTATTACTTTTTCAAGTTTCATCTATTTTGTATCTGTTTAGCTATACCGTATACAATCCAGCAGAATTAATTAATTACTGTGTTTCAGCAAGTTTTAGCGCTTTGTTTGTTGAAACTTTATTAAAGCTTGAAATTTCATTTACCATAAATAGAAGTTCTTGCAGGAAATGGGATTATATTGGTCGATATTGCCGTAATGACTCTAAACTATCAAAATCAGAGACGGAAATATGCATATTTAAATAATTTGCTAACAATTTGATGTGTGGAAATTACGAAATTCTGACAAAATGTCTATGAGTGATTTCTTGGTACGACATATTTTGGGCCTTAGGCCATCGCCAGAAGGACATTCAGATACCACAAATGAGCGGAATGGATCAACAATAATGGTGCCAAAGGTACCAACGGGATTACAGGATCTTCAATTTATCACCACTGGTCTTACAAGTCCAATGATCGATTATGCGACAACGTTGCAACTAATGCAATTGCAAATGTTTTGCCAACCAAGCCTATTAAATACATTTTTAAATCAAATGGCTGCAATGGGAATAGCTATGAATAATAGCTTAAACAAGGTATGACAAAGTGATAATGAATGATCCGATCAAAAGGGAGGAAAAAAAGTGGCACCATTAATTAAGCTGATCATTAGTAGAATTTGGAACTTATCATCAATAGCTTCTAATAAATTATGCAAAATTTTATGGTTATATTCAATATTATCAAAATTTATAACTTTTATTAATTATTGAATTTGAGATTAACGATTTCTTCAAGATATTTCTCAAAATATTTTGTTGGTTAAGCTCCGAATAAAATATGCAAAATTAGGAACTTTTCACTCTAAAAAATTTAAATAAGTTAAACAAATAAATAAATCAAATTTAAAAAATAAAAGCTTCCTTTCCTTTCTTCCATAAATTTTCGCCCACATTTTTGCACAAATATTAATTTGAAAAGGAGTCAAAGTAATGATATCTCAATGTAATTAATATATGTAAATAAATCTATCATTCATATATTTCTTTTCTTATCAACTATTAATAATTCATTAGATTTTTGATTGTTAATAATTAACAAATTTTTTCAAATTTCATAAACAATGCTTTCTTTTTCAAAGGACAGGAAGAATGTGTTGTAATTTTATAGCAATCATTTCAGAAATTGTGAAATTTATTTACAAATTATCGAACTTTTGGAAAAATATAAAATGTAATTAAAATAAAAGTCAATGAAATAATAGGTAACATCACCAGTTGAAACACCAACTGATAGTTGTACGATACATCCAATACGTGAACGGAAACGTCTTGCATCACGTTGTTCTGATGATTTATCATCGAAACGATCTAAGGTAACACGACGATTAGCAATTGATTCCGAAACAAGTTCACCTGTTTCAGGAATGTTTATAAAGGTGTGTCTTTTCTTCTTTTTTTTTAAAAAAAAAAAATTAATACCAATTATAAATATTACAATAGTAAATGCGATAACAAATTATTTAGATGAAAAAAAAAATCAAATAATTCAATGAATTTACTTAAGTTACATCTGATGAAATGATACATATGCATGACAAAATTTATGCAAAGAGCTAAAAAAAGTTAAAAGTAAATTTTCAAATTAGAAAATTAAAAATTTATGTAAAAACAAAATCGATGAAAAAGTGGAATGAAGGATTAGCATGCTAAAAAGTAAAATAGAGGAACTGTGAATTAGATAAATTTGAAATAATTTATTATTATTGTTTAATGCTTTTTTCTTTGGAAAATATATGAGAAAAGTAGAACTTCAAAACTTCAAAAATCTGGTCAATTTTTCAAAATAGAATTTAAAAAATAAAAATGAGATGTAAATTACAGGAGGCATCATCTTTACCGCCACCTGATGAATTACAAGCTGCAGCAGATTTGGATGAGACCGCTGTTTTTGTAAATGTTTCAGAGGAAAGTCGACGTAACATTGAACAAATTACAAATGTCATTGGTGATTGCATATGTGCCTTGTGCAAAGTATATATTTAATAACAATTTTGAATTTAATTTATTTAATGAAATTATTTAATGAAACTTTAATGAATTTAGTGAAACTAAGATAAAACTTAATGAGACTTACACATTAATTTATTAATCATTATTCTTATATTTGTTTATCGAAAGATTATTAAGTAAATGCATTTCAAATTTTTTTTTCTTTCTCTTTTATAATAATTTTTATATTTTAAAGTTAGCACAAATGTTTGAGTAATTTTTGTAAATTGCTTTTTTAACAAAAATTTTTACAAAAAAATAATTTTTTAAAGTAAATTATAAAAATTACTCAAACATTTATTCTTAAATATTATATTATAACGGAAAATAAAAGTTTAACAACAATTTGATTTCTTAACTTTTATTAAAATATTAATAATAGTAAATATAAATAATCCAAATTTATTAGGTTCGATATGATGATGTATTTCGGCTAGCACAACATCGTTGTCCACGTATTATTCATGAAGAATATCGTTGTCCGGAATGTGACAAGGTTAGCATTTCTTCATTAAATTTTACATACATTATCAAAAATTGATAATGTCCTAGTGGTAAACAAAAATTGATAATGCTAAAAATTGATAATATTGATAATCAAAAATTGATAGTGTCATACTGAATAAGATTAAGCATATATATTAGCATATTTGAAAGTAATTTATGATATTAACCATTAAATTATTCCAGTTTAATTATCCGGAATTGCTAAACTTTTTTCGTCTTAAAAATATGCGAAAGAGTTTCATGCTTTTTTTTTCTTTTATTTCAAGTAGTATTAATTTCATTTCTGTTATTTTATAAAACAAAAAAAAAAGAAAGAAATACTTGAAATTGCAATGTATGCAATAAAACGGTAACATGAAAATCCTTCTTTTCAAAGTCAAATAAAATTTTTTTTTTTTCAATAGGCGCAATTAACCAAGAATACAGCCAAATATGTCCTATTCCAAAGTAGTATGACTAACAATGGTCTAGTAGTATCCGATTCTTTGCGACCGATTCTTTGCTTCCTTCTTTATCGCATCCAGAATCCATAATTAAGTGGCAGGTGCATGCGGGAATTGGATGGTTTAAGAGCTTGTTCTGTCTCTATCGAGATGGCTCAGAGGGCCATTTGAGTAAGCAATTGTAACTGAAATGGTGATAAATGTCTCCTTGATGCATGTAAAAACATGATATTTTAATGAGGGAGTTTTGAAAGAATGAAGAAAAAAAAAAAGAAGAAGGAAGGATATGTCAAAATGGTCAATGGTTCTTCTTGACCTTACCACCCACTGATTTTACACGTTTTTGTTTTTTTTTATTTTTATTTTTGCGCCTTCCTCTTGTTAAAGTACCATTACTACTTCTACCATTACCACCCGTTGCCTAATAAACCTTTGATGAGAGCACAATTATAGGTATACTTTAATCGGGTAACTTTAAAGGTACATATGTACATGTTTAGCAATGGTACTATAATTTGATATTTGTAAACAAAATTATTAAGGATGCCGATTAACATGAAGTTTGCATAATTGATTCAGCTTTATCTCTTCTACTTTATGCAAATTTCTTTACCAGATTATCTTTTTTTCATCCAAAATTTATCACAATTTTTCGAATTTCAAACCATTTTGCTACTTAGTTAATAATTTGTGTCTTTTTTTTTTAAATCCAACTATAATTGTTTGGGATTCTAACCAAAATTACTATCAAATTAAAATCTCATGCAAATTTTTTTGTATAAATTTAATTAATAATTTTTTGCATAAATTTAATGAATTAATAATTTTTCGGGCGGAATATTCTGAATTTTACCTCACAAAATGCGCTATTGGTAAGAAAGAAAAAGCAGATTTGAATGAGAAAAGAAAAATGATACAATTTTGAGGAAAAATTAAGTTTATAGGGCTTGAAGTGATTTGAATTTGAAATAGTCCCGAAAAAATTTGATCTAAATCAATTAATACCATAATTTTTCCTCATGCCTAAACAGCACGAGATAAGTAATTGTACTTTTATTGCTAATAAAAGTTTCTCCTTTACTATTCTCTCGTCTTCTCCCTTAGTGGTACAGTAATCATTTCCAAAAATTGTTTTTTTTTTATTTCAGGTATTTAGCTGTCCGGCAAATTTAGCATCACATCGTCGTTGGCATAAACCACGCGGGAATGATCAGGTAGCTGCTGCGGCATCATCATCTTCCGGTTCTGCTTCCTTGAGTAATTTTATATGTACGATCTGTTCCGCAAAATTTGATACCAAAAAAGCCTTCAGATTACATTCCGCACACTGCTCAGCCATTCTTTCCGATAATTCTAGTCATACTCAAAATCATCTCTTAAACTTATTGCACCATACTATCCCTTCAAATTTAAAATCTAAAATAGAAAATTAAAAAAATTGTCTATAATTAAGGGATAGTATTAAACCAGGCGGAATGTTCGGGTAATTGTAATGCGAAATTATGCAAATAATCCAGTGATATGACTAAAATGTTATTTATACGAAAATTCAACCTTTTATTTTGTAATTTCAAATTTTGTTCCATTCTTCTACCTCATTTGTTTAAATTCATTTCTTTTTTTTTGACTATTTTAATTTATACTACAATCTAATATATGCTTATTTGTATCATTTTTGATCTCCCATTTACAATTAGATCTTCAATTTCATTTCATTTCATTTCAATTCTTTCCCTTCATAATAAATTAGTATTATTTTTTCGAATAACTAAACCATGGAGCATTCTTTTTTTCTGCATTATCTCATCTTTTCAGCAATTCTTAAACATTCAGGGCAATATGATTTGTATTAATTTTAGAATAGCTAAATTTATATTCCTAAAATTAAATTTTTATCAAATATGAAATGTATGCAACATTTTTTGTTTTTTTTTTTGCATTTATTTGTTTTTTTTCAATTTTTTAATCTTAATTTTTTTTTTTTTTGAAAACTTTTTCTTTGCATAAAATTTTTGCACTATCATATTTGCATCAATACATTTTTAGCAATAAATACATGTAAGCTAGTGAACGCTGAGTATTCTCTAGTCAATTTGATGTACAGTTATTCTTATCATTAATCATTTATCAAACAATGACAAACTATAATACTCCTTATTACTATTATATATAAATGATATTAAATCATATATCATAATTATTCCATATGACTATACCCAATTATTTTATTGTTAATCAAAAAAAAAGAAAGAGGAAAGAATTGTAACATTGGTAATAGTAGTAATAGGAGTAATAGTTTATAGTTTATAATGATAATAACACCTGCTCTCTTCTTGTTATATTCTTGTTTGATGTAATTTGCTTGACCTCTAGTGACCAAAACCATAATCATCATTTCTATATACAATAATTTGGATAACCTTAATTTACCGCAGTTAGTTGAGAAAAAAAAAATTCACTTGCAATTAGTAAAATTTATATGCAAAATGTTGCGGAAAAAATAGCAAATATTGTTGAATACTGCAAATTAGAACTAAAACTTGTTGGGATTTTAATGAAATTTCATTTTTCGCTCGTTTTTTTTAATCTTTTAAATTTTTCAAATTTCAATAAGTTCAATAACAACCATTCAGATTTCAAATTAATAGTTATTAATTTCATTGAAAACAACAAAATGATTGATATTATTGGTTTCGGTTACTATCAAATCAAATTTCATTGTGAAATTATTCACGTTATAATATATTACAGTAAATGTATTGCTTTCATTGAATAAATCAAATAAATCATACCTTTATATCTCTTTTCCTCCTTTTTTTTTCTTTTTTTAATCAGTAATTATCATTTTATTTATGGGATGAGTAACGAATTTCGAAATTGAAATTCAATTGCAAAAATATTGTCAAACGAAACAGTTAGATAACTGAATTTTAAATATTTGCAGTGAATTAAAAAAAAAAGGAAAGAAAAGTTGCATATATTGTCGATATTTGCATAAGTTACAATTATCAGTTAATTGATATATGATAACAAGACAATGTATGGAGGGAATAATAACTGCAAAAATTTCCACAGACGTAATGCTACATCATTAGACAGTTGTAATCATTGTACAATTAGAATTAATTAACCAAATAGTTATTTAGAATTACTGCTTAAAAACTCTTTTACTTTAATATTTTGCACTAATATATGAAAATTCTTTCACCATTAATATGCTAATCAATATCTCTCAGATATTATTAAGTTAATTGATACCTCTCAGATGTATGAATTCAACTTCCTTGCATCTCATTCAAATTTTCGTATTATTATCCAAGAAATAAAATGATGTTAAACAAACTGCTATTTCTCAGATATATTAAACTTATCTGCCATCTCTCAGATATACTAAACCATTTGGTCTTTCAAATATATTAAAAATTACAAAAATGGCTAATTAACTGGATGAATAGCTTATTTAAATAATCCAACTTCCATCCATTTCCCTTAAACTCTTATACCGTTATCCGAGGAATAAAACGATAATGATGGGAGAATAAAATGAATGAATGAATGAATGAATGAATGAATGAATAATGTCAAACACATCTAACTAGCCTTGACATCTTCACTTGATCTCCTATATTTAGATGGTACTCAAATTAGACGTAATTACAGAATTCATCATCAAATATTTTCTCGAATCAACAACACAACAGTATGATGATGATGGATAAATGAAGAAGGATAGGTGAGAGATGAGGGAGAAGGTAAGTTTTCTGGGATAAAACTTAAATCTGCGTATTGATCATACTGTAGAAGGATCAATAAATGAATGGTGTTATTCAACTTGATATCTATCTTTTCTTTATTTTAGCTTTTATTTTCTTTTACTCTCTCTCTCTCTTTCTTTTAAATTCTATCTTTAGTAAATTTTAAAATAAATCCTAAATTTATATAAGATTTTTTGTAGAGATAATGGTTAACAAATCCTTTAACTTTATTTATATAATGAAAATTAACGAATGAAATTATTGAATAAAAATGACAGTCAATGTAATGTTGTTGAACAGATGGTAAAAGAGTGAAGAGAGTAGAAGGATATTTGATGTTTGAGGATATTCGAGGATACTGTTACCTCCAAACATTTGCCATCTCCTGTAACATATATTCTTATTAATAATTAAATATTCTAAATGAAGCAAAATAAAACGATAGTGAAAAGAGTTAAAGTCATCCATCATTTTCAATCTTCTCCTCTTCTCTTTCATTCATATATATATATATATATATATATCATTGACATTTAATATATTTCATTTTAATGTTTATCAGAAGAAAAAAGAAAAATGAGCAGTAAGGTTGAAATGATTTACCTCTCGAAAATTTCGATAGATTAAAAGGAAAACTCGATTTAAAATGATTTAATTTCAATTTGTCTATAAATAGAAATAAATTACTTCAAAATCATTTCATAGAAATATGGTACATATCAAAAATATGTTCAGTTTTATTTCCTAAAAAAAGAGAAAAAATTGAATAAATTTAATGGAATTAATGAAACTCAAATAGTTCTGGGAAATAAAAATGTAAAGGTAAAAAAAAAAATTCGACAGAATTTGGAAGCACTTTTTTTTTTCTTCCTATAAATTTTTACTGAAAATGACAAGCAAAATTCTTTTTCGCATTTAACATTTTCGGATAATAATCAATGAGATTATAGCGCCTTTCAGTACTTTGAAGTTTGTCAATGCCTTGAGAAATCGACGCTTAACAGCAATAAATATGAAAATTTTAATAAATTAACAGCTTGTTTCTCTCCCTCTCTTCCTCTCTCTCTCCCTCTCTCTCTCTCCCTCCAATATATTTTATGAAAATCTTTGAAAAGTTGCTGTCAAAAGAAGATCCAACGAATACATAATAAATTGTATGCCAATTTCTCAAATAAAATTCCTTCCAATTTAGCAATATGAAGCGCATTTTTTTTTCATTTTTGGAAAACCAGATTTTTTCAAATGAATTATGTTTTATTTTTTTTAAAAACATCATGACAGAAAAATTGGTATTCCTAACCAAAGTAATGAATCAATAAACTAACAACCAAAAAAGAATTAAATGAAATCAATTGATAAAATGGTTATCGAGAAATTCATGTGAGCCAAAAATTTTTAAGATATTTGAAATAGACAAATTTTTTACAAGAGGTAAAAAGGTTTGAACCATTACTGGAAATTGAGAATCATTTAAAATCAGAAACCAAAAAAGAAACAAAAGAATGCAACGCAACATTTAAGAAATGTTCAAAATACATTTAAAATACAATAATTTTTTGAAACGAAAAGAAAAAAGAGGCAATTCAAAAAACACATTCAGGCATATTAAATATCATAAAACACTTTCCGATGAAAGTTCTTCACAGCTTCTTCATCCAATCTATAGTAATGATGAGTTAATGAATGCCGTGTGGCAATTAAAAATTGGAGTAAAAAGAAATTATTGGTACAAATGTGGTTAACATGTAAATTTTCAAGTTGATTATTTAAGTTGATTTTCATGTTGCACGTTTTCAAGTTGATTATTAGTATCGCATTATTATTGCAGATTATAAAACAGAAAAAAGAACAGATATAAGATGATGGAATGACAAAAGACAGAAGAAAAAACACACCTCATTATTTTCGGCAAAGTACAAATCGATAATGAATATCATTAATTTCCACTGGTTCTCCTGTTCTTTCATCGTAATCGGCCCATTCCTTGATTCAAAAGTATAACAATTAGATTATTACTTCATTAGTTCAAATGCCATTGACAATTGAAACAATTACAGCAGCACAAGTGGTCTAAGGGGATTCCTTTAAATGATAACCACGAATACACCACTTAGTCGTTCACACATGCCTACATTCAAATTATACTGTTTAATCTTTTTATTTTTTATTTCTACAATCTTACCACTGATTATTCATTTGCGCATCAAATAATGTATTAAATAAATAGATAAAATGGGAGAATGAGTCATTCCTTTATTATTATTTTTTTTTCTCCTCAGAACAATACATAAACAAGCCAAATTATTAGAACATTACAAAGACAAATTAAAGTTTATTTTAACAAAGTGCGTCTCACAGATTGGTTATGTAAATTAAAAGAATAAGTGGAAACCTTTTCAGTAAGATCAATATTTTCAAAAATAGTTGTTGATTCGTCTCCAATAGCTTGCCATGGCGACTGAAATTACGATTTATATCGGAAAAATATCAAATAAATAAATACTGTATAGCAAACAGTAAGCTTCTAAAAGATCAGTAAAATTCAGATTAGTAAACTTCAAAGATCAGCAAGCAGTAGGGTTTCGAAAAAAAAAAAACGATTTAAGAAATCTACTGGACTAAACGATACATTTGCTCTAATAATGATCCTTACCATTTCTTTCACTATTCAGCTCCCCAACACTTAAAATTATTGCACTTGTTTCCCTTACTTAGGTACAAAATTCGAATTAAGAGAAGAAATAAAACAAACTCGTGGATCGAAGTCGGTCGGTTCCAAGCCACGACAGTCAAATTTAACCAGTTCCTTGTATTCAGCATAATCACTTTTATAGGGTCGAAGCGAACCTTTCACAATTTCTATAGAAATAGTACAGCATATAATAATTCATATATAAAGAAAAACGAACTTAAATTTTAGATCACTTCAACCGTGTTATATGATTCGCATATATTAATATTAAAAAATATTCTGAGAAATTAAAACGTGAATTTTAAAAGCAGACATGAAGTGCACTTTTAAATAGATTTTTGGTAAATTCTGCCAAATTATCACCAGAAATTACCGAGTGAATTCATCCTGTTACATAATTTACATTTTTCCAATATATTTGCAGTTCCTTTGCTTCCAGGTATATTAACTTTTTCCTGGAAAACTTCCCAGTTTGAATAACAAAAATATATATATATACTAATTCATAATGCTTGACACTGTTTTCTTGATTCCCTATCAAGTTCCGCCTTTTACATGGTTTTCTCCAAAACTTTGGCTTGATTAATGCGCATTGCATCATTACAATCATACCTTATAACAACAAACAACTTACTTGCGCGACAACATACTGCCAATGTTCTGGTTCTTCACCACAGTTCGTACATTTCAACTGTAATATGCATAATTACTGTTGATACATTCTGAAATTGATAAAATATGATGATAAAGATTTCCAGAATTTGACCCGGTTAAAATTTCAGGTTTGGGGAAGCCACGTAATGAAGTAGTATGGATTGGAGAAAAATCGGAATTACGAATTTTTTCAAATTCGTCATGATAGAACAAATTTTCCCAAAACCCTGAATGATGACTTGTGGACTATTTACGACAACGCATCACTTTTTTATATTTTTTAAGATAAAATTTTAAAATACAAACAGAAAAATCAAACTACAGCATCAAACTACAGCCTACAAGTTAGTCCAAACTTTTTCTTTTAGAATTCCATAAAACCTTTAAATGCCATCGAAATTTGGTCCAGTCACCCATTGGTTCCAATAAAGTTACATTCACCAAATTGGCTTTCAACTGTAGCGCAATAATGGGCTGCAAAAATGTTGAACTTTCCAAACAAATTTATTATCAAAAATTATCAAGGAAATAAAAAACTTAAATGGCCTTAAAAGTTTAAAGCTTAGATGAAAATAAAAAATTTCACCTATCCAAAATACTTTGGAAACTCTCTATATCTTTCCGACGATTCAAATAAATCATATATAAACTCAGAAATGTCTCATTTGAAGGAAAGGAGTAACTTACCATAGTATCAATGAGTTTTCCAGTTCACAAGATGATCCTCCCGAAAAAAATATATTTGAAGTAGGAAAAAGAAATATAAATTGAAGACAAAGAGATAACTATTGCAAACCAACCAACTACAATAATTCAATCAAGCCTACACATTCAACAACAAATTGTATCTTTTTTAAAAGATATGACTAAATGGGGAAATAAGAAGAGTAGTTTTATCAGCCAATGACGATCTTTCGTGGAAAGTGATTTTGCTCAATTTACACTTTTTTTTTTTCTGACAATATAGAATTAGAATCATTACTAGCAGTACCAAAAGCAAAGAAAATGTGAGAAATATTTTATTAAATTTACAAAACTGAGCAATGTAAAATTTAATATTTCTTTAGAAATTTTCCAGTCTTAGATATAAAGTTCATTTGAGCATACCGCTTCATGATAATGACAAGTAATCCCCTACGATAATTTAATCTTCATCCTTAATCAGAAAACTGGAAGTAGAAAGCATATATCATGAAGACTGATAGACAGTCACATTTTCTCAAGAAACAGGGAACAAGTAGAACTAATCACCCATTAAATTTCGAATTTCGAATAAGATTTAGAATTTGTAGGGTGGTAATTCCAGGATGGAACTAAGTGCAACTTGAAAAATGCTGAACATCCTTCTATGTAATCAAAAGAAGCCTTAATATAACATGGTTTAAGCCAACTCAACAGAAGAATATTCAACAAGATATTCTGCTAATCATCGAGTAATACGACCACACTTTGGGTACCTTCAATGAGATAGAGGAATCACTGAAAGTAAATAGTCCTTTCCTCCCGTTCTCTTCGGTTTCTGCAATTTTTAAGCAACCTGAAGGAAATTTCCTACCTATAACTAAACGCGTTGAAAAACTGCAGTAATTTGTCTTGCAATGAGATCCTGACTTTTATGTAACTGAATAATTTTAAATCTTTTTGCAAATTAATAATATCAACTTTTTGAAAACGAAAAATTGGCTCTGAATTTGCTAAATTCATTATCATTCATAATAACATTACATAACAAATAATTATTGTCTTCCGATGGTATCGGCTGACCAGCAAGAAAGGAATATTTGCACAAGTATGAAAATGCTTCTGAATGTGGACGTAATTTCAATCGGCGAATTGTTACACCACTTATTGTCAGTACTCTCTGCAACGTTTTAGATTATAAATCTGAATCTGGAAGGAAAAATACTACAGTTTTGTTAAAAATTTTTAGCAAAAATGAACAGATTAAAATAAACCCGAAACTAAGTAAAAGAAGACTGCAGGTATCTAAGAGAAAACTGAGAAAGCACAGGGCTTTCGCTGATATTGCAAGTGAAAACAAAGGAACGTGACAAGTGTCTATCGTTTTACATTTGCGCTAGCAAAGAGTACTGCACCAATGTGCGCTTCTTAAAGACGTTAATTATTGTAATCTTAAAAGTCGAAAAAGCGGAGGGTTCCGAGCATCAAAATCATTTTTGCAAACATATATGAGATGGGTTTGTTGGTTATTATTAATATCGCCATTGAATTTGTCGCATTGGTATTGTAATTGTTAAGTTCGTCTAGCTTATCATCCAAGTCTGAGGTCCTATTTATCCGAAAAAATCGTGGGCAGAGGCCAAATAAGGATTTGAGATTATTTGGTAAAGAAAAATGAAGTAAAAGCTAGCCACTAGAAAGGAAATACCTTATCAACAGCAGCCATCAATTCGACAAGCCCACGACCATCAGCACAAGAGACAAAATATGTGTTAGGTTCATCGGCCGGTAAACGACTCAATTTATCAATTTTATTTCCAACTCGAATCACTGAATCCAGTAATTCATTCTTAATTTTCAGTGCTGATAGTGTTTTCATTACGACATCACGTTGTGTGAGATAATCTGGATTCGAAATATCTTCTACATGTAATAATAAATTCTGCAATTATTTCTCAACATGTCAAACCAATTTTGGTGTTGAAAAAAATCATACCAATCATCATTTACTCAGTGTAAATTGTTTTATGGGAAAAAAAGTCTATTTTGGACAGGTTGGAATGGATTCATTTAAAGATAACTAACTGCATTCGCAACGTGATTTAATGTAGCTTGAAAAGATGCCAGTAATTGGGTAGGCAGATTCGATATGAACCCAATTGTATCAGCAAAAAGTATAGGTAAACCGGATGGTAACCGGAAAACATGAAGTGATGTATCCAATGTAGCGAACAAACGATCCTCAACATATAAATTTCGTCCTGTTAATCTGTAATAGGCGAAAATGGAATAAAATCAGAAATACTGCATATGAACAGTAAAACAGTAACGCAAAAAACTGCTGCACTTCCAACCAACGTCTAAAAACATTAAGATGTTCCGGAAATATTCTCCTACTCATTATCAATTTCACAGCTTCATTTTCCATCAAAAATGAAAGCAAATTGCAAGTAACCTTTTAATCAAAGAACTTTTACCAGCATTCGTATATCCGACTACAGCAATCACTGTCTGTATATTTTTTTGAGCTTCACCAATTCGTAAATTAATCTTCTCTTCCACAGCAGCTTTTAAGCATTTTCGCAAATGCTGCTCACGATAACGTAAAACTTCCAGTCTTTCGGCTCTAAAAACTTTCTGGAGAGAATTATTCTTCCCAAATGTTGACAAAATCTGGTCCACATTTTCTGTTTGAGCAATACAAGGACTGCTTACTTAGTCACAACGATAACTAATGAGTCATGATGATCACGAAAATTTTCAAGGAAAAATAATCATTCTAATTATTAGGGAATATTCTGGATTCAAAAAAAAAGTTAACGCATTTTTTTAATTCAAGAGAATAAATCCACAAAGCAAACCTCGATTTCTCGGATGTGTCAAGATGGAAAGTAGACGGATTTACACGTAATTCATACATGGATAATAACCGCTGCCTATAGAAGAAGAAAAATGTGTTTTAAAATTTCTTAGAAGTAAGATTTGACATAATCAAGAACATCATGATCGACATCTCAAAAATTTCAACGAAAGATAAAACTTCATATAGAAAATAACCTTATATAAGGAATTTCGGCAAGTTGAATTTGCAACTTAGCCTCCTTTGTTTTAGCAAACATTTTGAAAATGAGCAATACTATATTGTAACGATCATATACCGGAATACGGAAAATTGACGCCAATTCAGCCTAAATATAGTCGTAAATACCTTATTAAATTTCATTTCAATTTCTCAAAATATTAAATCTTAATTTTTTATTTCAAATTCAAAAAATCAAAAGCTTGAACCACTTGATTTAGGGTTTAACTACAAGTAAAATGATTGCACTTCACTAAACTCCACATTGTTAAGAAGGATAAGCGATGTTTTGCTCAGCGATGGAGACAATAAGGTCTCAAAAAAAAAAAAAACCTGTTGCTTTGGTGATAAAATATCAACGTCAATCATCAGTGCTGTGGCAGCGATTTTTCCTTTCAGAGCAATTATCCGCTCAATACGTCCGCTACCCCAAAGACGCTTTTTCTCAGTAGAGCGATCAGTGCTTACAGCAGTTGTCCTGCAACGATATAAATCCAAAATACAAATCAAATCATCCAATTTTCTCAATCAAAATACCAACGTAAACCCTTATTGTGATGTGGAAGTGTTAATATTTTTTAGAAATACTATCAAAACTCAGCGATCCATATGAGTCGAAAGTCCTGATTGGAGGTCACACATTTGGACCATTGTAATGGTCCTATTAAATGAAAATTAAATCATATCAGTCCTTGAGATCGTGTAACTAAAAAAATTTGCTACATTCAATGCTTGGACAATTTGCAGAATATCTTATCCAATAAATGAATCAAGAAATAAAAAATGAAAACAAAAAAAAAACGAATATTACATACTGAAACTTGTTGAATATGTCTAAATGTTCCTAAGAAAGACCGTTTAAGTGTACTACTGTAGAAAAAAAATACCGGAACGAAAACTTACTCTATGACTTTAAAATTAGGCAAAGTATTGACTAATGCAACAGCTTCTTCCAGTTGTAGCTTAGCTTTCGTTGGATTTAAATCGAAGAAACGTCCACGCCGTAACCGTGGATGAATAAGCAAAACACGATGTACTTCGGATGCTATACTTTGTATACCGTACGATTTTGAAATAATATTAAATTCATCATCCATCTGTGTTGCTTCCCTCGGTATCTTCGTACAAAGGTAACGTCCGGAACGCAATAAAGCAGAAATCTTTACAAAATTTCTAAAAAAGAAAACTCGAAAGAAATCCTGCAAGACCATTAACTTAAAATACATTAACCAGAAATTCATCTATACATCCAGTATAGAGCGTATTCCGTTAATGAAACTGTTGAATGCTGTAGATGAGAACACTATCAATAGGAATAAAGAAATGACTTTGACCGATACAGTCTCTAGTAAAGATCAATTCTACCAGTCAATTTTTGACCATCAATATCTTTTCCCTCCTCACTTGCTTGAATTTTTGATGAAAAATACGTATTTCATTTAGTGCTATCTATACCAAAACCTTACGCCGCTTTACGACATCTTATAAATGACGAATCCCCTTGAATGATCATAATAAACATACTTTGAAAAGACCATATTGTACAGCGAATGATTCCACAAGTGATCGACGATTATTTCCAGTAGAAATTATTGAAACAATTGTTACCAGCATAACGGGAAGCATTTACGAAAGCCATGCACAGGATGCTAATCTCACTAACTTCATAATATCAGGATAACCTCAGCAATTTTTTTATGATAATGATAACATGACAAGCATAATGCCATAATCATTTCTTGTTTACTCCTAATATCAAACTTCACGTCTTACCTTCCGAAATTTCCCTTTGAACTACACCATATAAGCTCACCAAATACCCGTTTCTTAGTCTAATATTCAGAAGAGTACATTTGCAAAAACAGTTGAATATTCTCGAAAAGTTTTCGCCAACAAAACAAAACAAAAACAGGAAGGGATTCCCACAGCACTTTTATTCCAATCAAATATATTTGAACATTTATCAGTAAGTTGTCCAAATGAATTAAATAACAATAAATGAGAAATGGAACAAGGAAAGATACCCATTTTCTGAGAGAATATCACAATTCTTTGAAGAAATGGAAAGCATTGTTAAAACAAGTAATCTACAAGGAAATATTTGAAGCAAAATTATTAATCCAAAATGAACCAGGAAAAAAATAAACATTAAATAATCGAAATATGGATAATAATCTGTATTACATGCATTAGGAAAACAACATCCATGCCAGAAAATCTTACAAATAAAATTTTTTTTGGCAATTGACAAAGGCAATACTGAAAATGCAATAATTTACAATCCTAGAAAAAAAAAAAAAAAAACAACAAAATTAACTATCTTCTACAGCTTTAAATGCTGTAATCTAGCAAATGTAAAAGATTCGAAACCAGGCAATACAATACAAGCTAAATGGGCAAATATCAAATACAAGACGGAAAGATATGACTTCGATGAAAAACTAAATATAATAAATTATAACACAATGAGTCATATGAAATCATTCAAAGCGAATGAATTTAATCCTGAAAATCAATAAAAGAAATAGCGGATGTGAACTATGCTGCCATTTTACGCTCATGCTAGCAGATTAACCATGATATCAAGTTAATGTTACCATGTTCATTTGTTTCAAAGTATTTCTTAACACTTTTCAAAGATAAAAGGTGAGCAAAGGAGAAAACTAATTTGGCCAATTTAAAATTCAAACTTTTTTTTAAAAGCAAGCAAAAAATATCAACTAAATCTAGAGAGAAAGGTGAAAAGAAAGCAAAATAAATAAATTCAGGAACTGAAGTCTTTGTATTTTATATCAATGTCGATTCTGATCCAGAAGCAGAAGCTGTAGAAAGTGATGGAGAAGAAGAGGAAGAAGCTTTATCCAAACCATGTAAACTTTGTAACACGGCATCGATAGCTGCCATATCCAGACGAGGCTTTTTAACTTGGCTACTTGGGGAATCGATGCCGGATGACTCATTGTGATGTATCGATTTCGATTCATTGGAGCCGGAAAAAGAGGAGCAAGCAACTGTTGTGGATTTTGAAGACATTGGAATTTTCGAAATAGAATTTGAAACAACTGTCAATGTATTTGCTTCCGAACAGTTACTGATATTTTTTACTGAAACACTCCGCCGTAACGAATCATTCTGCGCTGAAATGTCAGGTTTTAATAGCTGCGACAAGAGATCTGGTGTTTTCGGAATCGGCAAATCCAAAATCCTTTTACGAGTAGTGTGCTCCTGAAAGGAAAAAAAAAAAAGCTGTGAAACCAGATCCAGATGGAACGAAAGATATTATGCGAAGATTCAACAAATAAAAAACTCAGAAACCTCGCTTTTTACGTGATAGCATTCATTGCTTAAATACCAAGCAATGTTTCATAAAAGTTTATGGAAGAATTCTATTTGTATCGGAGGTAATATAATAGCAGTTTTATTCAGATTCTGAAAATTTGTTATATCGTCGGAATTTTCTTTTTAATGATGGTTTAACTTCTTTAAAAGGAAATATAATGACGAATGTAGCGATAATCGTTGCACGCAGATAATATTTAGCATGAAGTTGTATATACTGTAAATATAAGTGTTCTCTGCATAAGACGAACAAGAAATATACATTCCGGTTGCTTACTTTATATATAGTATAGCATAAATAAAATAACTTACCAAAGATGACGCAGTTGCACGCCGCATACCCTCAACTTTGCGATATTCCTGTTTCAGTTTTTCCTCATGTTCATACTTTGTCCGTATACGAGTTGCCTTTTCCAGTACCATACCAACTAGAAGAAAGGATTTGATTTTTGCTCATACTAGCTAGGATTGTTTAGACTAGCGAGTCATTTAATGTAATATGTTTCTGGTGATCATCGCTAAAACATCATCCAATTTATCAGAGGAGAGCCCATATTCCAATAATTTGGACAAAAAACAGAAAGCTCACGCATGAAAGTAATGCAACTAGAAAAAACCATAAACACGTAGTCTGACCTCTGGCTGAATGTCCACCTCCAACTAGCAAATTTCCCCTTCCTTTGTTGACCCCTGAAACTACCTTTTTGTATTCCATTACATCTATTTCGTCCTTTCGAGACGTACCTAAAAATGCGGTTTCTCGTTCAAATATCGTTTCCGGAAGAATACATGGAAAAAGTTAGAAATTTTGCGAAGTGGATAAGCCAGGATTTAACGTAAATATTTACAGCACGAAAGATAAATCCATGATCAGAACATGCTAGCAGCATGTTGGATAAAATTTTAAGCAAAATAGTTGAAAACGAGTAAATTACCTGGTTTTACAGCAAGGCAATTAAAAAGATCGTCCAGGGCATCCGGTCGACTTGATCCAGTTTCCTAGAAGGAAAGGAATAAAATTGTGATGAATTAGAAAAGAACTAACAGGATAAAATTTCAACAATTTAGTATTTCGTAAGCTCGCGTTTGAGTACTTTCATTTTATTTAATCGCTTGCTGCATTTAATCAAAAGTTAGCGGAGAATTACTTCGAAGAACCATTATTCATATGTAGAACCTCCCGATTCAAAGCAACACTATTCATCCAATCAATAGAATAACTTAAGCAATAAGACAACACAGTCCGTAGTAACATAGTGAAAAATTACCTTTATGTTTTTTGTTGCCTTAATATCAGTGTTACGCTCTGACTTTTCCTTCTTTGTACGACAATCCTCCTTTGTGAGCTTTATTTTCCCAGTAGTCCTCTGAGTGGATGATGGCCTAAACCATAGTTCAAATAAAAATTTTAAAGAATTGTTGAATATTTGCCGAATTCTAACCCAAAATTGTCAGCATAGTTAAAAGTTGAAACAGAAGAGGACAAAAGCTACCTCGCACGACTTTCTTCACACTTTCTTTTTGACTCGTCTCTATCTGAAATCTTTGAAACAGGTCTCAAACTATCACCATCTCCAAACAGTTTATCTAAAATGCTTGCTTCATTCGCTTCACCACTTTTAGAGTCGAACTGTAAAATGCTTTTCAGCTCTTTTTTGGTTTTCTATCCCTAGATCGTTCTCGTTGCTTTTTCAACGCGCAATTGTTGGTCAGTTTATCGTCTTTTTCCTTCATCCTCTTTAGCTTTTCACGATCCTCACGTTCTTTGCGTCGTTTTTCACGTAGTTCTTTTTCACGTGCTTCACGTTCCTCCTCCTCCCTCCTTTTCCGTTCTCTTTCAGCAGCTCTTTTTAGTTCCCTTTCTTCTACTTC